CGCCGGGCGATCGCGGACCGCCCTCCGCCGGACCCCCGCCGATGTCTGGGTGCTCACTTTAATGCTGCGGGGAGCCCGGGCGCCCGGGGGCGCCTTGCTCCCCGTTCCCTCCCCTTCCCGTCGGGACTCTCGGCCCGGGATCCTCCGCCCGGACCGCCCGGCTTTGTGTGGTGGCCCCGTCACCGCCGCTGCCTGCCGCACGTCACAAATCCGAGGAGCGACCGACAGGACAGCCCCAGCCCCAAGCTCCTGGGGATCCCGGCCTGATGCACCGCGCCGCGCCCGCGGGGCTGGGGACAAACCGGGCGGGCCACGTCCCTAGGCTATTCGGACGCCCCCGACTTGGAGAAGGCTTATGTTTGTTTTAACTGCGGGACTCCTCTTTCCACTGGACTCCCTACTCTGGGTGGCTGGGTTTACTCTGTTGCTCTGGGTTCTTAAAGACGATCCCAGCAGCTTTTCCACTTACTGCTACTTCTTTTTGGGGTCTTAAAGGCTGATCAGAGCTGCAGCGAGCGCTCAGCTTGACTCCAAGGCGAGCGGTGCCCAGAAGTTCAAAGGACTCGGGGCGGGGCTTGGAGGGAGGGGCCAAGACTCTGCAGGCCAGATGGCTGGCTTCGTCACCTCGTCCTCTGTGAGACGGGGAATTGAGGATGTCACTCAAACCACAGCCAACACGGAACACCCCCAAGACCCGCACTTAAATCACTAGTTAGTGGTGTGGCCCAGTCCGAAGATTTCCGAGGTGAAGGCCAACTTTTCAGTAGACTCGCCGGACCAGCTCGAAACTGATCGCTTCCTACCTCTCCCAGAGGTCTTCCCACTCCCTGCCTTTCACTGTCGGGAAATTCACTGCTTCAAATTAGAACAGATATAAGGGCTGGAAGGTCTTCGGGTTTATCAGAGCCCAGGCTCCTGGCGTCCATCACATCCAGCTTCTCCGTGGATATCTTCCCTGGGAGCTACATGCCGCCCCCTTCCTCCCTGGAAGGGAAGGTTGCCCGCCCCTGTGTGCTGCCCTGAGTAACTGGGGTTCCGCAGAACTGGGGAGGAGGCAGAGGGAGTGAAAGACTGACTCGGGTGGCCTGAGAATACACTGTCAATTTGTGCTAGCCAAATTGTTCCTGGGAGCCCCCCCCCGGGGGGGGCAGGAGTGAACGGCGGGGTTGACAGAATGGGGAGTGGTCTGCCAGAAACAAGGGAACCCCCTCTTTCCTTCCCACTCCTTTGTCAACCCCCACGGCAAATCCTAGGGGACTGGATGCGGAGAGCACCGTGGCTTGTCTGACTCTGTCGTGGGTTTGTGTGCAGGCGTGGGAGAGGACGTGGAGTTCATGTTTCAGATTTATCGCACGTGTTCCTCCACGTGCCTGGCCCTTTCTCGGCCATTCTCGGGCAGAGCCAAGGCCCCGATCCTCTAATGATCAACATTTTTTAAGAGAGTGAAAACCTATAGGAAAAAGAAGAAGGAGCAGCTGTGACTGTGTTAGTAACATCTGCCGAGAAAAGAGGCAAAGAGCAAAGTGGTGTTCGTTGGATGGAACGGTGCACACCTGCTATCCTAGCTTTCGGAAGAAAGCCAGCGGCAGAGGGGATGCAGAGAATTCAAGGCCAGCCTGGACTACAGCAATGTGTTCTAGGCCAGCCAGGGATACATTGCAAAGTCCTTAAAAAAAAAAAATCCCAGCAGAGGCAGAGGCAGGCAGATCTCTGTGAGTTCAAGGCCAACCTGGTCTACAGAACGAGTTCCAGGATAGCCAAGAGCTGTTACACAGAGAAACCCTGTCTCAAAAAATTAAAAGAAAAGAAGGAAGGAAGGAAGGAAGGAAGGAAGGAAGGAAGGAAGGAAGGAAGGAAGGAAGAAAAAGAGAGAGAAAGAAAATGGAAGTGGGGCAGGGGCTGGTGTTTCGTTTGAGACAGGTCTCACTGTGCTGCCCTGTCTGGCCTGGAACTCACTGTAGAGACCAAGCTGGCCTTGAACTCACAGAGAGTTCATCCTGGGTGCTGAGAATGAAAGCTGTGCACCACCACAATGGGGGGCAAAGGTGTGTGGTTTTAGTGAGCGACAGACCCTCTATGACACACGGCTTAAAGCAGACCTGAAAGCCAATCGGACTGCAAACTTAATTGCTGTCTCTAGACCAGGGAAAGGGTTTGCCCCTGAACTTCAAGAAAGGCTGGAACAGGACACTGAGGGTATTTTTGAAGGTAAGGGTTTCGACCTTGAAAGGTTTGTGATACTTAGGTAGGCCCCGGAAACACACAGTATCGAGAGCTAATCCTGACTCTCGGAAAACCTATTCATGCTTGGATCCACGGGAGAATGGTTACTAGGGACTTGGTTAAGTCAAATTAACAATACAGAAATTTCTGAAAAGTTGGGATCCAAAAGTTGCCTGCAAAGGTCAGGAGGAGCCAAGCACCCTCATAATTGTCTTTTTTTCTGGTTTGTCTAGGAACATTTGCAGCGCCTGGTTTTTCTAGAATGATGGGTTTACCTCTACGGAATAAATCTTGCCTTTCCTTGTTGTTGTTGGGGGTTTTTACTCTTTTGGGGGACCCGCCACCCAGCTCCCAAATAAACTTACACACAGAGGCTTATTATTACTTATGAATGCCGAGCCTTAGCTTGGCTTCTTTCTAACCAGCTTTCCTTAACTTAACTTATCCCATCCACCTCTGCCTCTGGGTTTTTCCTGTTCTCTTACTTCCGTAAATCTCACTCTTTCTCTGTGGCTTGCTGTGTAGCTGGGTGGCTGGGCCCTGGAGTCCTTCTTCTCTGGCTCCTAGATCCTCTTCAATCTAGGTCTATCCTTCTATATACCCCTTCTGCCTGCCAGCCCTGCCTATCCTCTCTCCTGCCTTGCTATTGGCCAGTTCTTTATTAGACCATCAGGTGTTTTAGACAGGCACAGTAACACAGCTTCACAGAGTTAGACAAATGCAACATGAACAAAAGTATCACACCTTAAAATAATATTCCCCAACATTTCCTTACAAATTAACCTGTGTGTGACACTCTTAGGTCCTCTCTGAGCTAACGAAGGAAGTGGAGGGATAAATCAGTCTTACAGTTCACCTCCTCTGCAGGATACAAGAAAGGGTCATCCACATACTGAATAAGAGTAGAGTCCCAGAGAACTTTATGGCCCTTGGGTTCTTGGTTGGGCACATAGGAAAAGGGTACTACCTCAGTGAACTGCAAGGCTCAGAAACCCATATACAATGTTGGTTTCTTCTGGAGGAGAAAAATAGAAGTGGTGTTGTTGCTGTTCGTTTTGTTTTATCTAAAGAGACACCAAGAAAAGCAATGCACATGATAATTGTAACGCTCCGGGGCCTCACAGCAGCATCTGAGTTGGGTGCTGTGGGGAAGTGGAGGGTGATGATTTTATTGGTGGTACTGTACCTGTGTCAATCATGAATTTGTAAGGTTATCTTTTCCTCTTTAGAGACATGTTCCCTCCCGGGGTTTAAGGATAAAATGGGAACTGAACAGCCTCACTTGTGACTTGTTCCTCCCCAACCCCCACTTTCAGTGTCTGAGGCTAAGGCTCTTTCAAAATATCCTGCCCGCTTTGGGAGGTCGAGCTGTAGGGCTGTTTCGAACTCTAGTTTCTGCTTGCAGAGCAAATCCTTACATCTTCTCTTTATGGCTTGAATCAAGTCACAAAAACAGAACTGCTAGAAGGCACCTGCTTTCTTGACCTGCTGAGTACTCTCTCTCGTCAGTATCCAAGAGCCTCTCCCTGAAACCTCCTGGGGCTCCTCTCTTTTTTTTATTATTTTTAATTTTATAATTTAATTTAATTTTACATATCAGCCATGGATTCCCCTGTCCTCCCTCCTCCCACCCCCCCCCCCCCCCCCCCCCCCAATCCACCCCCCATTCCCATCTCCTCCAAGACAAGGACACCCCTGGGGAGTCAGCCCAACCTGGTAGATTCAGCCAAGGCAGGTCCAGTCCCCTCCTCCCTCCGGCTCCTCTCTTAACCAAACGGGAGGGTGACTTTCTGAAGGCCTTGACCAACACCCACAGCTTTTTTAAATTTTTTAAATAAAATTCAATATTTTAAAAAAAATCCATTTCTTTTAAGGCACTATAGGAGACTTCCTATTTTAGTTTTTTTTTTTTTTAATTGAACTTTCTGCATCTGAAGTACCAACTAGCAAATGAATCATTTGGTACATATCTTGAAGATACAGTCTCAAAACAATTCTAAATTCACAATTAGTGGCTTTTAACTGAGAATGAAACCGAAATGTAACTGTACCAAAGAGAATTTTTCCCCCCTCTCTTCTGGTGGAAGTTTATCTTTAAGAGGTAAGTGGATTTTGTGGTAGCTGGCTATCCAAGAGAACGGAAGGACCCAAAGGAGAAATAGACTGAATGACAGAGGCACATAGACGGTTTGAGCTGCGATGTGGGGTGGCCTAACAGACCAGTTTATGCTGTTTATGTTTTTATTTTGCTTTGGTCAAGGAATCCGCTCATGAATTATTTTGGAATCTGATCCTTCTGGATGTTTCTTTATGCTAATAGAAAAAAGAAGACGTCGGCAATGACTCCCGGGTGTTTGCATTTCTGTTCCCCTCTGTTCTAAAGCACCGCTCACATGAATTTTGTTCATATCAGAAGTTCGCTGTAGTAACCACTGCATTTCTAAAACACCAACCCTAAACTGTTGTATCATAGAAGGCTGTGATTTAGAAA